TATGTCCTGGCAGTATAAATTTAAAGTTCAAGTCTTTGAGCACGACGAATACATGTCTACACAACAATCTGTACAGTTCAAAGTGCTTGCACGAACACGTAGACGTAGTTAGAACCACATCGTGAATAACCGTGAATGTCTTACCATCAGTATCTTTGATTGTGAATTCCATTAGTCCACTGCTATCTGATAAGTTCATTACACGACAATTGAAACACGCTGCACATATCTCATCCTGGACACGATAGAAAGATGATGTCGTGTAAATAGACCGTGCGTGTTTCTCAATTGGCAAGGGCGTCTTAATTTCAGCCATTTGTGATTCACCTTCACTTTGTAGCTTAATCGAGGTGTTTCGTTGGGCATCCATTGCGCTGTCGAAATGTAGTAAGAAGTCGACTAAACTAGAATGGTTGTTTGTGAAGTGACCAAACCAATGGTTCTCCCTTTCCGATCTAGACGTAGTTCTTATTAACCTGCTCATCCTAACATCCTTGAAAAATGCTGGGATCCAGTACTCCCACTTTGCAAAAAGGTTAATAAACCAATTGTGAGTATCCAACTTATGTTCTTCCATTATGGCTGACCATTTAGTTTCAAAGTCACCAGGCTCTACAGTCCGATCCCAAACAATTTCATGCAGCCTTCGTTCAAATGCAGAATCGTTATTTATCGAATGACCGACTTTGTCGCACAATTTATTCATTATGTGCCACATACAGAAACGGTGCTTGCAAGTCTCGAATACCTTAGGAAATGCAATTCCAATTGAGGGATCTTGGTCGGTGACAATGTATTCTGGCTCGTGAATCATGGCTTTCTTAAAACTCTTGAACACCCATGTATACGAGTCGACGTCTTCTTTTGATATCAACGCGGCTGCAAACGTCACGCACCGGTTATGGTTATCTATTCCTGTAAAAGGAGCGAACACCATGTTGTACCTACAATTTTATTACTGTGAGTCAGTACGTATAAGTGCTCATGTAAGTAATATGCAATTATTTACCAATCATCATAAAATGTGTGCTCACATGTTGGTGCCGTAGGTCGCATCAAATGATACAACATCACCAAAAGAATCGTAGTTCCTCCTTGAAATTGGATCAGCCCAAAAGAGTCGTTTCAGGCATTCTCTAGCGTCAAGTTCGTAGTCGAAGTAAAAGGCAGGATTTGTTTCCTGACGCTTATAAAACTTATCGATGACTAGTTGAGCATCTGCGCCCGATATGTATCCTCGAAGATCCCGTTTAAAATTCTTGAAGTCAGTAATGGTGGCCCCGACATTCGAATACCCTCAAACTATTTCTTTGTACAGTCGGTACGACTTGTTTGGCCCTATATTGGCCTTTATGCAGTTTAGCATAAATGACTGATGTCCTGCATTCATTTCTCTGTTGATCTTCATTTGTGGTTTGCAAATGTCAGATACCATTGAGTGGCTATGTTTCTCCTCGAAAGACTTAATGATATAGCCATTCGATCCATCGACTCTCAATGCAATCCTGGCAATACAACCCACCCGGCTGGACACCCTACGTCTCGTCTCGTCGCGTGTCCTTCACCAGTCGGACCAACATTTGCATGAAGCTTATATCCCTCACGCGAGCACACCACGTATTTCCAAAGGACCGTCTTGTCACGTGCTTTTATCAAGGTGTTGTTCCTCACATTGAATCTGACACTACGAGCATAATTCTGGTAGAAATTCACTGCTTCATGTATCTCTTGAAAACTTTGACCCTGATAAGGTTTGATTGCATTGTCACATCGGTATTCCAATATTTTGTTTCGCCCGGAGTGATCGAAAGACGCTGATGTGTAATTGGTGCCTGGTTTTCTTGAAGAGCCATGAGAAGAAGAAAAAAAAAAGTTAAAACAATATCATCAAGTCAAACTCACTGGTTGCACACTTGTAATCATACTATTACACATAATATGATTGGGTGTTGCACTTTATCCCATAATAAATAAAACATGTACAAACAACTGAAAGTAAAAGGTATAAGATTCAATCAATACCTGGTTGTGATTCGTTCAATTCCATTGTTGATCGGACTCAACCAAAATAATGTATCAACCCCACAAAAATTTGAATGCCAAAGAGGAAGAATGAAAGCGGAACGTATATCAGCTCAAGAATCATAGAAATTAGAAAAAAACTAAATCATAGCTCACTGCCAGAGCTCAAAATCAAGGCGGTTGGTCGCAACACCCCAATAAATCGGAAAATCTCGAGCTCCACTTCAAAGAATGTGTTCGCAGGGTTCAAAAAAAAAAATAAAAAATCAGAAGATTCGATCTCAATTTAATGGGTATTGGTCGCAGAACTCCAATAAATTAATCGCAAAACCCAAAGAATCCAAAAACCAGAGCTCGACGTTCACGTAGATTGATCGAAACATTTCAATATCTCGAGCTCAATTTTTCACATAATTTGAGGCGTGAATTTGAGGTGAGGGTTTCTGAATCTCAGCTGCGAGAATGAGGTAAGGGATTTTTTCTTTCTTTTTTTTGTTCCTGGCCGTCATTAAAAAAATTGATTTCAATGTTTAGTTACCACTATACCCTCCAATGAGTGGCATGAGTAAATCACTAAATCTGTGCGCGTTTTTTTTTTCTGGTCGTCCGATTGTTGTGATTGTGTGGATGCGATTTATTCTTATTTCTTACGTTAAGACCCATTCTCGCGGAAACCCAACCCTATATA